CCGCTCCCCTCAGGGCCGGGGGAGGTGTTGGGGGCGGGGGGGGAGCGGTTTATCTGCTAATAATAGTAATAATTAATAACATAGCGCCCCGACTTTCACTTAGTCAGGTGCAGCGGTCAACCGGCGTGCCCCTGTCGATGTAGCCGACGGAAGCTCCAGGCAGTTCAGGGCAAAAAGAGCGCCGTGCGGTAGGGTATTGGTAAATGCCGATCTATTTTCAGCAGTTCGCGTTAAACCGGTAGCCTTCTGCATCGTTAAACAAAATCAGGAGAGTGTGCGAGAAAACGGCACCCTTTGTTTATTTATTTATTTATTGTCTATATAAATAATCCTGGCGATGGGTCTGCTTTTGGAATTACCAAAAAAAAAAAAAAATACTCTGCTTGAGTTAATCGTGCACCTTCCCACTCCTTTTTTTGGTGGCTCTACGGGAGAGCGGCTGAGCGATCGCTACGTCAATAAGCAAATGTTCTCATTACATGACTCAGATGCAGGTCGCCCCTCCGTAGCACGTCCATCCCAGGTTCTTAAAAAGTTTGCCCAGCACACTCTCTGGAACAGCTCTGGTTTCTGGTTGATGCCATGTTCTTGGTCCTTTATTTGTAGCTTCGTTAGCAGCTGTTGGGAGTGATTTCTTGAACTATTTTGGGAAGGTGGTAAGCAGCCTGTGGTGCGGTATGGTCCTCGCCCCACTGGCTCTTCTCATCCTTCTGCCAAACACAAGCATGACCACAGGGATGGTGGTGTCTTTCTTCCATTAGCAGTGGTGGGAGTGGGCACAGGGTATCATCCGGCGTGAATCCGCCTGCAAAATTGAGACCTTAGTCTGCCACTGGACAGCTTTTCTTTCTTTTTTTTTTTTTTTTCCATCATGGAACCACAAACTGTATTTATTCTTTCTAAAATAGATGGAAAACTTGTATTTGTGTGAGACCACTTGGGTTTATCTGCAACTTCCATGAAAAAGTTAGATTTGTAATTTGGAACATAAACCAAGTTGTTGGTTTTTTTTTTTTACTGCCCCTTTTGTAGCCTTAAGATTTTGGCCAAACATCAGGCTTAATTATAGAAATTCAGTTGTAGCCTTCATTATAGTGGAACTACTGTCGTTCTGTATTAATCAAGGCTTAAGAATTTCCTCTACCTATTATAAAAATGAAACTCTAAAGAAGCAGTCATAGCCAAAGCATCAGAGGCAACAGCTTGTTGGAAAAAAAAAAAAACTTTTATATTCCTCGTATCTTCTCACGGGAGGCAAGATCAACTTTTCCATCTGACAGTTCTCACTACATTCTCCTAAGGTGCTTTAGCTATCCCATTCATCTGTGGGTAGGAAATCTTCTGTATATTTACACCGTGTTTCTTAACTGCAGGAATTAGTCTTAGGTCTTGGGGTTTTTTTGTCTTTTTTTTCCCCCCTCACTGCGTGGACATCACGGTTCCATCTGTGGGGATCGCTGCTGTTCCATTCTCCTGGAGCCTTCATTCTGGGGCGCCTCCCTGGCTTTGTTTCTCCTGCTGCTCACAACTTTCCCAAGCAGTAGTGAAATTCATTGGAAACAGCAACTTCACATTAATGAATTAAAGGAACAAAACAACGTGAATAACATAAGTGTGCTTGATTGCAGTAGGAATGCGCAGTGTAGGGACGAAGCCCCGTAAAGCTTGGGTTTCTTCTAGTTCTTTTGGAGATAATGGAATTGCTTATTTTTAAACACTGTGCTTGAAGTATTTTGTCTGCATTCTAAAATTAATGCTTGGAATGACTGATAAAAAAGTGAGAGTGAGCCTGTCGCTTCAGAGATCGGTTTTCTTTGTTTCCTCTTTGTAAGCAGGGAGCGGGTTTCTATGAATTTCTTGCGATGTGAGCACAGAGAGAAGGAGCGACTTCTTACACGGTGACCACGCACCATGGCAAAGTCATGCAGGGACAGGTGCAGTTAACTGGCTGGGTTTCAGGTTGTGTTTACTGTCATCCTTATTTATTTGTTTATCTTATGCCTTCTAGTAGTACCTGGGTTAATTTTAGATCAACCTTATGGCCGGTGCTGGGGGAGGCGGACAGGGTCATGACAAGGGCTTTTCTGTGTGACTCGGTTGTAAGCGCGGTGTGAGAAATTCAGAATGTGGAAGTGTGTGGGGTCACTTGGACCTCCCGTTTGTCTTTTCGAAGTGTTACAGATGGGGCGGGAAAGGGTTGTTCTCTCTCATGAAAAGTAAAGAGAGTGAGCGTTACCCCTTGTATCCAGTGGTGGTTTATTTTTAGAATTTTCCTTATAAGAAGATAAAGGTTTTAATGTTCTAACAGTAAGAATTATTTCAGATTTCATTGGACTGTTTTGTGTGCTAATTTTTATAAGAGCTGCAGTAAGATTAAAGTTGTTCATATGTCTGGCAAAAATCACACCCTGGATCTGTGCGGGGGAGAGATTGAGGAGCTGTTAAGATTAATTATTGAAGTACAGCTACAATTAAGGATGAGTAGTCCGGAAGTCCTCCAGTAAAATAATCACTGACATTCTTCTTTTCATTAGTAATGTGTTGTGTATTCAAAAGCTAAGCCGGCATCTTGATGCTGGTTTCAGCTCGGAGACTCTCCTTGCTCCCGGGCGTTTACTCCAACCTGTCATATGCATAAATTCTCAGAGTGTATTTTACAAGCGTGCTGAATTTGCTTTGCTTTATATGTCTGCAGATGGCAAAAGCCAAAGACAATATACTTGTGACGTCTAAGCCTGTCTGACTTCTCTAATCTATGGGTTATGATTAGGAATACTGACTTTTTGCAGCAATGGAGTTTTATTATGGTGAATAAGTACAGTAATGGATGCACCTATTGCTGTCCTCAACTCCTTCGGCATTAATCAGTTCCTATTGATTAGGAAGTCTTCCCTTCTGGTTTCTCTAATGATGAACATGTGGAAATAAGCCAGGTAGCCATAGAAAATCTCCGTTTAATGTGATAAGACTTGAGGAAAGAGAAACATCTAATGGATAATTTGAGATGTTGAGTCCTCTCCTCTCAGTTTACATTTTATGGGAGTTCCTATAATAGTTCATCTAAAGTTTTGCTTCTTTGCCAAATGGAAAGGCTGTAGATATATAGAGAAAAATTAGTTACATGATGCGATGCAATTAAAATCAGGGCTATATAAAGAAATGGAAATGTTTGCTCAGGAGAAACCTGCTAAAGAAGTTTGTAGGAGCTGTTTGACATAGCTGCTGAAGTGCGTGGTGAGCTGTAATTTTTGCAGGCTTTCACAAATATTTCTATCTTCCCTCCCCGGTTAGAACTTAATTTAGTCACAGATTCTTGACAGATCATTCAACTTTTCGCTGATGTGATGGACATCATTTGGGTAATTGCCTTTAGTCAGACTCTGTGCCCATTAATCCAGCTTTGAAAACAACAATTGCCAAATTACCCCGGCTCTGTCTCCCAGTGTGACGGTGTGTTTCTGGGCCAAGTTATTTTTGGTTGCAGCCAAAGGTCGGGGGTACAGTAGGTGTGCATTACTCTGTGGTTAGCAGCAGTCTAGTACAGTGCGCTTTTGTAATTTCCATGATGACTGGTGGGGTGAGGACGCGGAGGAAGAACGAACCCGCCGGGTTGAGCAGCCGGGCTCCAGTTGCACCACATTCCTCCGGCTCACACGTGGCCTCTGGCTTTTATGTCAAGTACCCGCATTTACTTTGGGTTTGTTTTGGAAGGAAAACAGGTACTTTGGTTGACTAATAAGGCAGCGGCCAGTAGTTTTTGTTGTTGTTTTAATGCTAATGTCGTCTGGAAGGGTGATTACGCACTTTCTGAACCCAAAGTTAGTCACCAAGCTTGCAGATTTCAGGATTTCAGAAAGAAATGAAGCATTTTCAAGTTTTACCTGAAATCAAACCTACAGAGTTGAGCAGAGAGGGAGGCCCAAGATGCCATCCTGTCAAGGCTTACTGTGTAATTCTTACTAAATAAAGCTTAGATATTCCTGAAATAAAGGACTTGATGGGTTGTACATGAAGTATTAGACCTCTGTTAGGATGAAATTGTCCGTTCTACAAGTTCCAGAGGGAAACTAATGAATTGTTTTTCTGTACGTGGTCTTCACCCGAGACACACTTTTGAGGGGCGGATCAGGATGGTGCTGTAAATGGGAAGCACAAAGGGAAGTTGGAAAGCCACACGCTGGCAGAAGACAAAGCACATTTGCTATTTTTTATGCCATCTAAATCTCTTGGCTGTCTCTTGCTGTTTGCTCTTACTGTTAATTTTGTCACTTCATGCTTCATTGTAATTTCTCATTGTGCATCGTTCATATGCTGTTTTCTTTAAATGTATTTCTCAATACATCGTGGAACATGGAGGGGAGCAGAACGCGGCTGCTGCATATTCAATGGGTGAAAACACAGGATGATGAATCCTAAAAAAATTCCCTTCTGATCAGTGCTTTGCTCTTCCCATACCTCAGCCATTCGGTGAAGCTGTGAACGCAAGCAGACATTTGGGTCGTGGACTTGTGATGGTTAAAAGTGCCTCGTAGAAATAAGTAGGAGACAATGCAACTTATTGCTGTTACTAACAAAAGAAAGATTTGGATGTCATGTAAAAGCCTTGAGAGAGTGCTGTCCAATTTGGACCCATTAATGAATAAAGCGTGAGATGTTTCCACATTAGAAGGGAGAAAATGTAGAGCGTAGGGTGTGAAATCCTGCATTTCCCACTGCCAGAGTGGACGCAGCTAATACCATCACAGCTTGGGAAATAACACAGTTCAGACTCACTGCAGTATCTGAGACAACACTGTTAATTTCTCCAGTGACTAAAGGTTTTTGGAGTACTATATGTTTTCCTTAATACACAAAGTATCGATATTGCTAAGTTATAAATCTTCTAGAAATAGGAAGTAATTTGCTTACAAGTTTGATCATGCAACAAGCTGATGTTTCCTCAGTTTAGAGGTTTTGTTGCAATTCCTGTGATACAGATGCTCTAGAATTCTGCAAGAGTTTACACATTTACTTCCAAAGATTAAGACAGATAGTTGAGGTTTAAAGGCTCCCACAAGCTTCAGTCTTTTTATTGTTGCAGACAACTTACAGTGCCATATTGTGCAAAGTATCAATAAAACCACTTAATCTCTTCCAGGTTTTCAGACAAGAAAGAAAGGCTGATGCATCTCAAAACCAAACAGAGAGAATTCCAAAAACAGTAAGTTGTAGTTATTAAAAGAAAAGAAACTGTAGAACTCTCAGAAGAACAAAACAGTGTCTCTAATGCACTGTTACTGGAGTCAGATGTAGTCCAGATAATCATAAACCTTTCAATCGTGTTTTTTCCTCTAGTGTTTTGAAGGCCATGGAAGGGAAGGAGATAACTGATCAGCTGGTGAGTTGTTCAAAGTGCCCCATAGTTTTTAAACTCTCTGAATTCCTAGATCTCATAGTTTAAAAGTTACAATTTACCTTGAGGGCATTGTGTTGCTTCCCCAAAAAGCCTGTTGTAAGCAAAACTGAAATCGGCTCTGCAAGCAGAGCACTCCAAACCATCAATATTTTTCATTTCTTACTAGATATTTGTTCAATAACTTACTATACTGATTGACTTTATACTAAGCATTTGGTTTGCTTGTGGCATTCTTTTGTGCACAAAACAGCATATAAAATATTTATTTGTTCGTCTGATCCAATTAAGAACATCCTGCTACTGCTGCACTAAAGCTGCTGGCTTTGTTGTTAATCATTAGTCAGTGTGTTTGAAGTCATTTGTGCCCTAGAGTTGCTGAATGTTCTTTTTCAGAGATGGAAAATAATGTCTTGCAAGATGAGGATTGAGCAGCTGAAACAGACCATTTGCAAAGAAAATGATGAAATGACAAGACGTGAGTAATGCCTGTGCTTTTGTGATGTGGAAAACTCTTGTGCCTTAGAGTGCAAAATCAATTGATGTGAATTTGAGTGTTAGTTTTTTTAAATGGTGAATTTCCAAACTGTCCTTTCTTAAATCAACTGGAAGGCAAATCAGTGAGCGGATTTTAGCCTTTTTATGCTTGGATTTTAATTAGCGAACAGTAGACATTATTCAGCTGGATGGAGATCATTTTGTAACAGCTTTAAAAGTAAATGCTTAGCAGCCTATGACTTTGGCTTTGTCCCTAGAGATGGCTTTATTCAGTGTAGTGTTTCTGATCACTTCCTCTTGATAAAGAGGAGCAAACAGCTCTGCAGCTGTTATGAATTTCATGTAACTGATGAATTTTAACCTGTACCTGTCTAGGAATCCTAAAATCCTACTTCAGCAAGAGTCACTGAAATATGGCGAAGCTGGTGAGTTGCTACTATTCAGCAGCTTCAGTTTTGAAATTCATTAAATATTTTACACAGATTTTTAGGGTCGTTTTTCAGAAGTACGCAGCGCTCCTTACAACCTACATGCAAAGGAAAGATAGGAAGCGTATTCACATGCATATTGATTGAATCAGAAACATTTTGATGACTTGAAATTGAAGAGGAGCCATACAGAGAGCGGAAGCACAGTCGTATACCTGAGAATAGTTATAAAGGAACAGCACAAGCTTGCGGTGATAACATCAAAAAGGCTGAGATGCAAAATGATTTTCAATTAATAAGGAGGATGGATAGTAACAATAAGAAACGTGCAATAAGAAAAAGATGAGGGAGTAGGCGGACCTGTTAGTTAACAGGAAGGAAAGCAAATAACAGTGCAGAAAAGTCGAAAGCCTTCAGCGCCGCCTTTGCTTCGTCTTCTCACAAAGAAAATTTGATTAGCCAGATTAAATTTTACATCATGAGAGGACTGGAGGCTAAAGAAAGAAAACACCCCGCTAAATATTATGTCATCAAGGCCATATGAGATTCACCTTGTGGAACTTAAGGAACAAGCTGAAGTAGTCTGTGGAGCCCTTGAAGAACGCATGAGGGAGAGTGGGTGTCCCAGGAAACAGGGTGAAAACAGCATCTTTTTTTGAAGGGTGGAGCAAGAACTGATGACACAGTCATCCTGTTACAAACCTCTGACCGCTTTGTTGGTAGGAGATTAAAAATAGGCGTCACTTTGAACAGGCATCACTTAATTAAGAATAGGCCATATCAAATCAACCTCTTCTCCTGGGGGTCAAGTGGTCTAGCGGAGGATGAAGCAGAAGATGCAACATACCTTGCCGTTGGGTGCTACCCCAAACTGGCTCACGAACAAGCAAAGACGTTTGCTCTGGGTGTCATCCCTGTAAGGTTGACACAAAAGGCTATGAAGAAAGGCTTTCAAAAAGTGGCGATACTTGTCAAATCAAGGAGATGAGACAGGCGGAGCGCAGAAGGAACCAGTTCCTGGCCCAGTTTTGTTCAGTATTTTCCAGAATAACTTGCATGGTGGAATGGAGGAGGCCAAGGTGGATGCTGTGAAGAACGGGATCAAATTCAAAATCATGCAGATAAATTAACAACATCATCTGAAAAGGACAAAGTCGAGTGCACATTGTTTAAGAAAGAAACATATAAACCTGAAGTGGGGGGCGGTGGTGAGATTTGGCAGGAAAGGATCAGGGAAATTGCAAATTAAATAAAAATTATCAATCTAATGCTGCTCCAGAAAAATTCAGACCTCATTCATGGTTATAGTAATATAAGCATTGTATTTAAGATGGAGCAATTATCCTGCTGTGCCCAGCGTTGGTGTTGCCTCAGTGGAAGTCTGGAGTTCAATTTGAGGAATTTAGGAAAGATACCAATCAAGTGGAGAAAGTCTGGAGGAGAATATTAGGAATAAAACACAAGGACTGGCTAAGCAAATTGATGATTGGTTTGGTTTAGAGGAGAGGAAGGTGAAGAAGGGCAGTTTTTCAGTAGGTAGAAGTTTATTATGAAGGAGATAGTAACTACTTTTCTCTAGCCTGGGAAGAAAGGAGAAGAGGAAGTCAGTGTGATTTTGAGGAACTTAGTCACCTTTCTCAAAAGGCAGCTCTGAAGGTGGCAAAAAGTTAGGACCAACTGGGGAGGGGAGTTCCTCCGCTTTTCTACTCTTCTGTGAAGCGCGTTATCTGCAGGTTTTGCAGCTTCTCTGATTCACAGTGAACTTGATTAGATTTAACCTGTGAACTGACCTAACTATTGCCCAGCTGACCTGTTAGCTCAATTTTCCCAAAACTGCTCTTGCAGATAGACCCAAAATGAACTCTTGCCATGGGCAGCCAGGAGACCAGGAACTCAACTTGGTTCACTCTTGGACCACTTGAGAAAATGTAAATAGGTTGTTTCTCTTCTCTTGGATATGGCACAGTTTAGTTTTCTGAAATAAGAACAATTTCTAGAACATTGGGCTCCTGTTTTTGCAGTTGACTAGATACCTCAATAATTGGCGCTTCTTAAAATAAGATTTTAAAATATGTGTGTTTGCCTTCTGTCTGCGGAGAACAGCTCAAGGAGAAAATCTTGCAAATATCTGGCGTAGCTCTCTGTTGTGCCTGTGCTTGCATTTATCAGGCAATGTAGATGTGTGGGGCATAGCGGTGTCCTGAAATACTTCTGGGGACAAATTTTAATCACCTCATAAACTGGGTCATAAAGCAGAGGTGCTAAGCCAAAAAAAAAAGGGACAGTTGTTTCTGCACAGGACTGCTAAAGAGGAAATGCATGTGCAGCATTCTCCCCCTCTTCTCAAATAATTGCTGTTGGCCCTGCAGGAAAGGGAGTTTGTTCTGTGAAAAAGGAGCCTTTCAAGTACAACATGAATGTGAAAATTGAACAGATGGACGTTTTACTCCTGTCTCTTATTCTTTATGCAAAGGGAGAATTTGGGAATATGAACGCGAGTATTAATTGATTTTCTGTTGATGTTACAGGACTGCTTAAAGGAAACTGAATTGCTAGCTGGCGCGTAGGGATTCTTGGTATCACTCAGAGAAAAGTCAATTTTTCTATGGTTCCTCTAACAGGGCGTCACTTATTTTATAAACCTGAGGATTATTAGTTCTTATCTGCATGGAGAAACTGTTCTCGCCTTCTTTAATCTGGGACTTTGCATCTCCCACGTATCAGATCTTCTTTCCTACCAAACACATCGTGGATTGCAACAGATCAGTTAGACGATTAGAAATAATTCCTGACATTCAGAGAAAGCGCACGCTGTGTCTGTGGGGCCAGGCACGCTCGGAGAGGTAGCAGCGGTCCTGGGCTCCCACCCTGCCAGACCAGGGACCGGCCAGAGCTCTGTGCAGTTCCAGCTCTGTGGGTGCAGACCAGGACTAGCGGGGTATCGTGTGCTGGCCAGGCATGGCTAGGCACAGACCCATGGGTGGGAATCGGTCTTGGGTCCCGTTTTTTGGATGTAGCCTTTAATTTTTGTGCTCTCCTGTTGGGAAGACTGACAGTCTGAATGTGTTGTTTAGCGTAGCTATAGCTGCTCAGAAGTTTTCACAGAATCACAGAATTTTCAGAGTTGGAAGGGACCTCTAGAGATCATCTAGTCCAACTCCCCTGCTAAAGCAGGATTGCCCAGAGCACATCACTCAGGACTGCATCCAGGCGGGCTTTGAAAATCTCCAGAGAAGGGGACTCTCCCCCCTCCCTGGGCAGCCTGTGCCACTGCTCTGTCACCCCAACTGTAAAGAAGTTTTTCCGTGTGTTGGAACGGAACTTCCTATGTTCCAACTTGCACCCATTGCCCCTCGTCCTGTCACTGGGAACCACCGAGAAGAGTCTGGCTCCATCCTCCTTCAACCCACCCTTTAAGTATTTGTAAGTAATAATAAGGTCTCCCCTCAGCCTTCTCTTCTCCAGGCTAAAGAGTCCCAGCTCTCTCAGCCTTTCCTCATAAGGGAGATGCTCCAATCCCTCAATCATCTTGGTTGTCCTTCGCTGGACTCGCTCCAGCAGTTCCCTGTCCCTGTTTTCTTGGTTTCAGCTCTGCAGAGAAGGACCTGGGAGTCCTGGTGGACAACAGGTCAACCATCAGCCTGCAATGCGCTCTTTTGGCCAAGAAGGCCAACGGTCTCCTGGTGTGCATGAAAAAGAGTGTGGTCAGTAGATCGAGGGAGGTCATCCTCCCCCTCTACTGTGCCCTGGTGGGGCCACATCTGCAGTACTCTGTCCAGTTCTGGGTTCCCCAGTTCATGAAAGACAAGGAACTACTGGAGAGAGTCCAGCAGAGGGCTACGAAGATGTTCAGGGGACTGGAGCATTGATGAGGAGAGAGCCCTGGGGCTGTTTAGCCTGGAGAAGAGGAGGCTGAGAGGGGATCTCATGAACACTTATCAATATCTAAAGGGTGGGTGTCAAGAGGATGGGGCCAGACTCTTTTCAGTGGTGCCCAGTGACAGGACAAGGGGCAAGAGGCACAAACTGGAACACAGGAAATTTCGTCTCAACACGAGGAGAAACTTCTTTACTTTGAGGGTGACAGAGCGCTGGAACAGGCTGCCTGGAGAGGTTGTAGAGTGTCTTGCTCTGGAGATACTCAAAACCTGCCTGGATGTGATCCTGTGCAACGTGCTCTGGGTGACCCTGCTTTGGCAGCGGGGTTGGACTGGGTGATCTCCAGAGGTCCCTTCCAACCCCTGCCATACTGTGATATAATGCAGCTTCTTTGAGTAGCAGATGCTACGGAGCATTCTTATTGTAGCTCCGGTCTCGTCTGTGTCTTGAAGTCAAAAATATATCAGTAAAGCGATGTCAGGGCTTAGTGCTTCCCTTCTATGCAAGGGACAGTTATCCCACTTCTTGACTACGGGAAAGCGATGCTTTGCAGTAAGAGAACCTGACTAACACTCTTTATTCTCAGCCATAAAATGGAAAGTGACTAGCAGATGGGGGCTCTTGTTCAAACTAGACCACGTTGAGGGTTTTAGACATGTATTTGGAGAGCGTGTATAAGAAATATTTGCCTGTGCTTTTGGAAGACAGAGGTGGCTAACTCATTCTCGCTAGCAGCATATGTTTGTTGAAGCATTACTGCAGTCAGTTATTTTATAGGAAAATCAACAGATGTTCTCGAAGGATATTTTTCCAAGCCTCAGCGTGCCTGACGCGTGGAGTAAATTCAGGCAGTTGCAGCACTTCAGCACATAAGCGCATTTCTCATTTTGTGACTGGAAAGGGTGATAGTCAGTGTTCCCTTGTGGTAACGAGAAGTCTGCACCGTTGGGATCCACGTGCTTTAAGAGCACATACGTGAGTGCGAAGCCCAACTAGCGTATGCTAATAGAAGCAGTGGTGCCAGAAGTGGTGAATGAAGATGCTATCTGCACTTGATTTTGGCTGCAAGCAATGCATGTCTTTTTGGCCAGCACCATGCGAACATGTACAGTCAGGCTATTTCTGTCATGACGATTACCTCAGAAGTTTAATTAAACTGCGAAATCTTGGCTTTTGTGCTCCAAATCCAAAAATAGCTGGGTAAAAGATAGGGAAAGATTAACCCTGATTACAGTCTCTTTGGAGATCTTCAGAAAAGATTAAAAAGCCGTACCGCTTAGCAGCTGGAAAACGTTAATAGTGAAGCAGGGTTTTCTGTTTTAAGCTGCTGTAGAGCTTGTTTTCTATAAATATTAATAATGCTTTTCTCCAGCTTACTACAAGTACCTCACAGCTCCTTTTCCAAGGCTAACATCTGCTGCTGTTTTCACAGATGCGGAGGGGCTTCTGAGAATCAAAGAGGAGAACCAGAAGCATTATCGCAGAGCTCAGCGGCATCAGGAGAAGAAAGAGAAGATCCAGAAGCATAACCACAAGCTGGGAGACTTGGTAGAGAAAAAAATGTATGACTTGAAAACCCAGTACGAGCATCTGGCCAATCTTCGTCGGACGCATATCCTGGAGCTAACATCAGTCATATTTCCCATTGAAGAAGTAAAGACAAGCATGAGGTACAGAAGGCTTATCCTTTTGGACTCATTTTGCTTAGCTTTAGACACCTAGAAGTGAGTCACCTAAGTCTAAGCTAGACTCTCTGGCTCCCATAGCATCTGTGGGGAGAAGGAGATGTTTCCCAAAGGCAAGGCATCTGAGGTCCAGAACAGAAGAATCTGGAGGTGCTAGCATCTCCCTAGTGAGAGATTTGAGCTATGTGTCCGATGTTAAACTTTCTTAAAATAGATAATTAAAAATCCCAGAACAAAGGAAAGTAGTTCTGGCAATAAGGAGTTTTGCAGGAGTGTTTCTATAAGCATTTTTTGATCCGTGAAATCTGGCTAAGCGCCTTTCAAGTACATCGCTGATTATATTTTTAAAACAACTTTAAAAACGCTCTGTTCCTCTTTGGGTGCTACAGAGATCCTGCAGATGTGTCTTCTGAGAGTGACAATGCTATGACCTCTAGCACTGTGAGCAAGCTCGCGGAAGCCAGGAGAACCACATATCTCTCCGGGAGATGGGTGTGTGATGATCATAACGGGGACACCAGCATCAGTATCACAGGGCCTTGGATAACCCTTCCTAATAACGGAGACTATTCAGCGTATTACAACTGGGTGGAAGAGAAGAAGACTACACAAGGACCAGGTAAGGAGCAAGGTCTGATAAGGCATCTGGAATACTCCAGAAGCCCTAGAACTTGCAGCCGTGGATGCCAGCAGAAGGCGCCGAGGAGCGGTAGCCTGGTCTGTTTGTTCTCGCCCAGATGAGCCTGAGTCAGAAATAAATACCAGTATAGGGATTAGTCCTCTGAAATCCTCTTTTGCAGGAAATGCTCACTGGGACACAGTGCAGTGTAATAGAGAGATAAAGTTAATTATTCGCAGTTTTGACACAGTTCACATGCCGTCATTTTAACTGGAATTCCAGGAATTACTATTTTCTACCAACTTCTGACAGATTTCACTGTAAATGATTGCCGGATTCAGGCTGTTCTCAGTACTTACAAATGACATTTTCCAGAGTAGACTTCAGTAACACATTAACACACCCACTGAGGCTTCATTTAAAATGAGACTTTCGTGATGTTTTTATTTCTTTTAGATATGGAACATAATAACCCTGCTTATACCATCAGCGCTGCATTGTGCTATGCAACTCAGCTTGTTAACACTTTGTCTCTCATACTTGATGTGAATCTTCCCAAGAAGCTCTGCAACAGGCAAGTAAATGCAAGCCTCTGAGGAGGTGAATCAGTGACCGGTTTTGACTGATCTTAATTCCGTTTGGTTTTGTGAACAAAGTCATTACTTGGAACAGCTTTTATGGTAACGGTCGATGGCTCCTGGATTTTTGTGCTGTTTAATTCGGGATGGAGGGCTAGTAGGATTTTAGACCACAGTTAATGGTCCCTCCCTGCCTTTTAACCTCCTGAGAGTGTAGACCGACCATCATAGTTGAAAATAACAGCTTTGTAATTGATGTATTCAGCATCCTGAAATCAGAAACGAAATATGACAGTGCATGAATAGCACTTTTCATTTTATGAGACCCTACTGTGCTTTACAAAATCCTGCCCCAATTCAGCAGCTCTTAGTCATCCTGAATAGCTCCGCTACGTTAAGTGCTGTAGAACAAGGCCTTATCATATGGCATGACAGCAGCAGAATTCTCTTTAGGATAAAACACTGATGGGGAGCGTACCTGGCTGCCAGACGTCTGGGAGTGTCTTGTGTAAACCCCATTTGTGATGAAAAGCCCTGTTAGGTTTTTAATGTCTGTGTGGAGCAGATGGGATCTGTACAGAAGAAATACTGAGGAAGCTGTAGACCTGGTCAGTCTTCCAGAGGTCTCAAATATGCTGCTGAAATTCTTTTAAGTGTTTAAAATAGTGGTTGCCGAAGGGAGGGCACAAAAGTCGTGTAGGATCTCTGCAGTTTTTCTGTCCTATTATTTGGGTGCTCAGTTTCCCAGAAGGAAAAGGTCGGGAACAGGAAATGAGGCAAGATTTAAAAGGAGAGCCGAAATAGCTTGGCTGCAGTGGATCTGCGAGTTTCATACAGCTTGCATCACCTGTCCTGTTGAAACCAGTGAGATTAGGGCAAGCCGTGCTTGCTGATGAAATGCTAACAGTCTTGCAAGGTGAAAAATTAATCTCCCGAGCAGTCTGAAACTGTCTGTGCAGATTAAACAAGTGCTCGCTGTGAGGATGTTTACTCTGGGATTTGTTAGGAAGCCAGTGCACAGAATGCTGGCATCTCCAGTAGGGGTATTTTCACAGCATTTTGCTTGAGGAGTGTATATATATATATGTGTGTGTGTGTGTGTGTGGTGTTTCAACAGTGAGTTCTGTGGAGAGAATCTCAGCAGACACAGGTTCACGCGGGCAGTGAAGAAGCTGAATGCTAATATCCTTCACCTTTGCTTCTCTCAGGTAGGGGGAATGGACATTTGGATTCTTTAAATAGTTTTTAAAATATCAACTGTGTCTGCAGGTTTCCTCCAGTACTGATCATGTCTTTTTCTTACCTTCCCCGTGGTAGCACGTAAATTTAGATCTGTTGCACCCACTGCATACGCTCAGGAACCTTATGTACCTGGTCAGCCCAGACACTGAGAACTTGGGCAGGTAAGAAAAGCAGTACCTCAACTCACCTGTGACTGAATCCCTTTTGAAATTACGCATTTGCCTTGTTAATTATAAGGGAAGTTGTTCTCTTCTGCTGTACCTATAGATCAGTCCTCAGCACATCAGAAATCAGAGTAGTTACAAGGAGGAGACGGGAGAGGACAGAAAAAGGGTGTCCTGAGTAGGAAATTAGATTTGAGAGATGTGTGTGTGTGCTGTGCTTCTGCGTATGGCAGGCTCAGCTGGAGGCTTCGTAGCTGATTAGAGACTTGTTTTCCCTATGCCCAGAAGCAGGAACTCCTTCCCTTCAGGGGACAGCAGCACATATGCCAGGCACTCTCACTGTGCTCCAAATATGACCCTACCCATATCTTGCCAACATGTAAATGCCTAGGAGTATCCACCAATATAGACCCTAAAATGAATCCTAGGTAAAGCTTTCCCAAAATACTCCCAGTTAGTGAACACCCTGGACCAAAGGCAACACTTCAAATAATCTTAATTTCCATGTAAATCAAGATTAAAGACAACTTTTCTGTTAACTTAGTACGTGATGAAAAGAACGTCAGTTCCTATGGGCTGCACGCACCAGCTTTAATAATCTCCTTTTTTTTTTTTTTCTTTGGGTATATCCCTCCTGATTCAGCCCAAAGGTATGGGGAGCCAAATCTTTGTAACGTAGCTCAGTTTGGAAAAAAATGATGTGCCTGCTGCATAGAACGAAGAACTGGGGGCTGGAAAGCAGCTTTTGTGAAGGATCCGAGTGCCACAGTGGTCACAAAGCGAAGCCTGATGGATCCCCCAGGATGTGATGTAGAAGGTCTGAGCAGAGGGATGGGTCTCCCTTCCCTGGGCAAATGTTACAGAGCGCCACGCGCATCAGTCAGTTCCATGTAGTAAAAGAAGAGGTTACAGGAAAGAGTCGGAGAAAATACCTACCAGTGAGGGGAATGGTTTAGTCTGTGTAAAACTGTCTTTAGCTCGCTAGAGGTGAGATTTGAGAGATGACCCGATTTCCGCGCCTTCATGGGGCGAAAATACGGGCTACTGAATGCCCTTGCAGACACCACTGGAAGCAAAGAGTCTGAGCTAGGTTGAAATGAGGCGCGTGTGCTTAACACAGAGATTAATTACCTGCAAGAATGAAGGTGGGGATTCTCTGTTTCCTTATGTCGTCCTGTCAAGGCTGGGTGAGTTTCTGGAATGGATGCTTTCATCAGGCAGAAGTTACTGGGCTCAGGACAGGGGGAACAGGTGGAACGTAATGGCCTTTGTCATAGAGGAGGTCACTCGAGATGATCTTATGGTCCCTTCTGGCCTTAAACCTGATGATTCTCCTCTTATGTTGCCTTGTTAAGCAAAATGCTTTGCCAGAAGGCAGCGCTCCCATTCCTTGCCAGATTATGAAAGAGGAGTGTTTACCTTTAATTTCTCAGCTGTCTGCAACGTTTGCAGCAACCAGCTCTCTATTTTCCTTTAGATATCTAGGCCTATAGTTGCCCCATAGTCTCCTTTATAAGCTACTGTTTTCAGACACGTGTAATTTTACCAAGCTTTAATTGTCTGGATTAAAATTTTCCATGCTAAACCCGCTGCTTCAGGCTCCTTCTCCCACTAAGGCTGGAGAAACGCTCTTACCCGTGTTAAATTCTGGCTCCCGTTCCACTGAGCAGCTTTGTGCGTCGGAATGAGCTTTGGCGGGGACTCAGCTTGCTGCAGGGAATCCTTGAAAACCTCGTGTTCGCTGGCCACGGGTCACGGGCCTCTGACTCTGCCTGCTTTGGCTCAGCAAAGATGTTTCGGGTTTTGGCTGCCCCATACTCCAGTGCAAAGCAGTGGGACGGGGTGGGATGCAATTGCTTCTCCCACCAGGCAGTGGCAGCAAGGACCTCGGAGTCCCAGCGCAGGCTGGGTTTGGCCGGGACCTCTGGAGATCCAGCCCATCGCTCCACTCAAAAGCAGAGCCAACTAGAGCCAGTTACTCGGGACCAGTGGCCAGTGGGGTTTTGAATGTCTCCAGTGATGGAGACTCCACAGCCTCTCCGGGCAACCTGTTTCAGTGTTTGACCAGCCCCATAAGTAAAAAAAGATCTTGAGATGTTGCTGAGGGCAAAGTGGTGCTCTGGGAAGTCTCCGCTAGTGAGTTGTGCCAGCCCGAGGGTGTGAGTTGTAAACTACACCCTTCCCCTCGCTGACAGAGCTGCAGCCGTCTTGGCCTGGCCGGGGCTGGTGTTAAAAATAAAAGCCGTTCCACATCAAGCTGAGATTTCCACCAGTGGAGCTGTGAGTTATTAGCAATAGCGTTTTCTTTTGTGCGTGCATGTTTCACTGTCCACTGCCAAAGCAGAACAGCTCTTCCGCCGCCGTCCCTGCTCCGTGGATCGGAACCCAGCTACCACTTCCTTGGCCAACTGGTTTCGTTTCGCCATTGTCATAATAGAGTTATCTCCATAGCCAGCGAGTTTCTCTCTGCCAGCTGATAAACCCAGAGGTGTTTTAATTTCTCTGCCATGCACGTGACAGGGTAGGGTGCCTCGGCATGCCTAGGACTCGCAGCAGCCGAGTAACAGTCCCTCTCCTGCGTGGTCCCAAACGAGCTGACGGCGTTGTGTCCGTGTTCGCAGGTCTGGGCCTTTCGAAATCAGCGCCGATCTCGAAGACTCCATGGAGTTCGTGGATCCCAGTGCCACCGGAGAAACAGATGAGAGTGGAGATGAACACGTCAGCGATGAAGAGACAGACCTTGGGACAGACTGGGAGAATCTGCCGAGCCCCAGGTTCTGCGATATCCCCTCCCAGCCGGCGGAGATGCTGCAGAGCCAGAGCACCCAGGTGTCTCAGCCCATTGCCAGCAGCAGCGCCGGTGGAATGATCTCGTCCGCTGCCGCCTCGGTCACCTCGTGGTTGAAGGCGTACACTGGACATCGCTAACGAGCATGGGAAAAGGATCGTAGGATTTGTGGAAGGAATCCCTCCCCGACAATGCTGTAGTAAACCTTACATATTCAGTTAAGTAGTGCCTGGAACAAAGAAAAGGTCAGACTTTCATTTTGTAAACCAGAAAAACCTTTTTATTTACCCAAGATGACTGTGACGGTACCATTTTGTAAATTAGCTAGCTACGTACTTCTGACGGATTCTGTGACGGCACTTTGTGTCTTGGTTCTGTCTGCATTGTTGAGTATCGAAGAAAAAGGACCCGGTAGCCTCCAGCTCTACTTTCTAAAGAAGAAACAGATTTTGGAGTATTTGGATCGGGAACGAGTACGGAGAGAAGGCTGCTCCATGTGCAGTCTGGACAGTGGTGCAAATGCAGTTCACATTTTCTTAACTCTCCTTACAGGGTTTTCGTTCGTGTGTGTTTTAAATCTGTCCTGCATAATGCAAAAATGCATCTTTCTAAATTTTTTTCATTCAGGACATGAAAATTATGCATTTTTAACATGTTTTCTAATCTCTGTTGCCATATTTTTAATACAAAGAATCAGCGTGGACAGGAATTCACACAGCAAATTGCTCTTATTTTAGATTTGGTTGTGAATCTTTACCCAGTTTTGCCGTAGAAAACTGGCTTGTTTCATGCTGTTTCCACCGGTAGGTAGTCTAGAAGTCTCGTGTTGTGCTGTCCAAAGCACACAGGCTTTTTACTCTTAATATCATACACCAAAGAAACACTGGACATTCTCTTAGCTAGACCCACATTTGACGCCGATAGAGGATTGCGTTGTTGCAATAATATTCATCAGTTCCACCACCATGTTGCCACTTTTTAACAGGAGAAAAACCTCATTTCGAGCTAGTTTAATGAAGTCACGCCGTCTCCACACTACATGCATTTTAAGCCCTATTCTATTCTATGTTTATGGTGGGATTGGTTTTTTTGTTTTTTCTTGTTTACTGAATGCCAAGAAGTTGATTTCATTTCACTGCAGAAATGCTCCCAGCGCAGCTGGCTCGCTTGTAAAACTACGGGAGGTGCGACGCTGACAGATGCGTTTGTTAACAAGTGCTCCTCCGCTTCCTCTGCCTTGCGGGATGTATTACTTAACGATGGGTTTGCTCGGTGAGGCTTCCAACGTATGGTTTACATTTTAGATAGTTGGGACATCGTATTTCTCCACGGGGTAAAGGAACATCAAAGCATCCTCCCGTCCCTGCAGGAGGGAGGGTTTCTGCCACGCTTCCCCGCGGCGAGGCAGCTCGTGATGGGGGCACGGCGAGGCGGCAGGAGCGATGCGCGAGCCACGTCCCTGCCATCAGGCAGCGTCCTCCTGCGTGTCGGCAGTCCCAGCTGCGGGGCTGGCTCTCCCGGCCACCTCCCGGAGCGGTTTGTGGTGGTTTTGCTCCGTTCCTCCCCGGGCCAGCCAGCGCAGCCTCCCCTCTCCACCCAGGAGTGGATGGGAAAGCAGTTTTGGTGCCAGTACCTGCGCATCCCAGCGAGCTCCACACCGGATCGCATCCCCCAGCCCCCCACTGCTCTTTCTCTTCGGCCTTGGGATGGGTGTCTCTTCTCAGTAGTTTCTTTTAATTTTTTTTTTTTTTTCTTTAAACCAAAGACCCTTAACTCCGCACTAACATCACGCACGTTTTTAGATAAAGACACCCTCGGTCCTACCATTCTTTGGGTCTAAATGCAACAGTCGAGTTGGTTTGAGGAGAACCGCCAAGACTCCCGTGACTACTGCAGCCCAAAGGGGGCCGGGAGGGTCCGGTCACTGTTCCACTCACAGCACTTTACTCCCTCGCGGCTATCGGGTCCTTCGCAGCTCTGAGCAACCAGCACACACCAGTACTGTACACTGCGCTCTTCGCATCGCACAGCCCCTTCTGGTTTCCCGTTTGTTTTGCACTGGCCCCCACCGTATAAATTATCTTCTCTTCCTTTGTCTTTTTTTTTAATGTTAATACGCATTTCAGTCACTCTGTCATCGCTGCCTTTGTGCTACCCCAAAAGGTCCGGCCGTGATTCTGCTTTGTACACTGTCATTTACTTAGGGGCGGGGGTAAAACCACCAACCCCAAAACCTTGTTAAGCCATATACTTCATAACCATCATGTTTTCCAAATAATTTATTTGCGACCGTGTCATATTCTGACAGTGCGTAACAGCACTGCGAGGGTGTTAAAATGCATTGGGATAGGTCTTTTTCATGAAACGTTTTTGTAACAGAATACAGATTGTGGTTGGTTTGTTTGTTTGTTTTTCTAAAAGTGTTTTTGCACATGTGTAGCTAAGGAAGAATTGTGTGCGTCCAACCCTTGAGTGCAATCGCCAGGATTACTTTTCCAGGTTGTTTTGGGGGGCGGGGGAGGGAGGGCAGGAATATCTGTAATGATAGATATTTGAAGACAGCCGGCTGAGAGTTTACAAAACACTTTGCGTGGCGGGAATGCGGGAATTTCAGTTCAGGCCGAGACTTTTGTCCGTGACCAGCGATCTTGGGGGGGGGGGGGCGAACCCCACT